CCTTCCCTGGGATGTTTTGGATTGAGTTTTGTGGCTATGACGTGAAGGAACCTCACATGTCAGGATAAAAATAGCTCTGGCCTCAATACACAATGCGAGTTACAGTTCAACAGAACCAGATGAGAAAACATTAGCCGCTCAGCTCAGGCACAGCAAGGTCCCTGCTCTGCTCCCCACCCTTTCTGCTGGGATCGGGCTGTGTGTCAGGACAACCCCTCATGAGTGGGCATGAGGGTCTGCCACCCTGGAAGTGCTGGGGAAAGGCCAGCGGCTGGTCGGAGCACTCAGGAGCCCGAGGGGCCAGTTCAGATCCAGGTCCTGCTGCTGCCTAGCAGGGTAGTGAAGGGAGTGAGACTTCCCCGAGGCCAGTCACTCACTTGTGAGCCATCACAGTAGAAAGGGTATAGTGAGCATCTGGCACAGGAAGTGCTCCATGGAAGGGACAGCGTGAGTGGCAGGGTGGTAGGGGACTAAGGAGGACAGGCCGCAGAGGGGCAGCTTCCCCACAGAATCAAATGGCTGGGAGAAAGGGAGGCCTAGCAGGGTCCTGGGGTGTGGCATTTGTGGAAGGGCGGGCAGCCCCTTGGCTGCATGGACAAAAGATGCAGCAGCATGGCTCCCCGGGGGACCAGTCCTGGAGGGGATCATTTTCTTCTCTGTGGACCAGTTGAGGTCCCCGAGAACAGGAGTTGAGGTCCCCGAGAACAGGAGTGGAGGGCCTCACCCACATCCAGAGACTGTTCAGCTGCTTGGCTCAGAGCAAGAGGGAAGCTAATGAGTCGGAGCACGGCCCGGGAGGGATTTCTAGCTGACAGGGCAGTAGAAAGGCTTCCCAACTATCTGCCACCAGGAAAGAGATGGTGCTGGTGCAGAGCAAGGGCTGGCCCAGGGCACTGCCTGAGGGAGGAGCTACAGTGGCCTCAGGCCAGCCGACAGGCCTGGCAGCCAGGGGACACCTTCCTGGGCAGTGGTGCTGGGGAGCCTCAGCTCAGGGTTGGTGACTAGTCCCATGCCTTCCCTCATTTTAATAAACTTAAAAGAAGGTCTGGTACTTTATGATGCTGGGGATTCAGAGATGAGTAAAACATGGCCCCTGTGGCCTGAGACGGGCACACAAACCACCCAGCGATCCTGCTAAAATGTGCCTGGGAGTGGGATGAACGTTTGCATTTCTGACAGTTCTAAGCCACTAGGAAGTTACAAGCTGCATCTTGAACAAGAGGGTTCTAAGAAGTCACAGAAAGGAAGGACAATGTCAGTTCTACCACCAACCCAACCTGAGCAAGCATGAGGGAGGCCTGAGCGGGGGCAGCCTGGTGGAGGACGGGGCCTGAAGTTGGCTCTAGCTCTGGGGAGGCCCTGTCATTCCCAGGAAGGAAGCTCACCAAGCACTCAGCACCCATTTTATAGAAGATGAAGAGGTAGTGCCGAGGCAGGGCACTTCCACAAACCCGCACCATCATCCCTTCTGGGGCCTCCTGGGGGCTAAAAGGGTGTGGATGAGGCCTTGAGGCTTAAAGAGCAAAGGCTACAGGAAGTGGAGGGACAGCAGAAGGACAGAAATGAAGGAATGAAGGAAGAAATGTACGGCCTGAGGCCAGATGGGGGGCCCTGAAGTCACTGTGGAGAGACAAGTGACTTCCCCAGGTACTGCCAGGGCAGGACTACAGGCCCAGCCCCGACTGGCCCTTTCCTCAAGTAGTGGAAGCTTCCAGGGCCAACAAGGGTGGGATTCCTGAGCGTGCAGTTAGGAGGCCAGGCTCTTTGGCCATCTCCAACGCCTGTTGCAATGGCCAGCTGAGGGAATGAATGTAAGCTACCCTGCGTGCAGTGCTTAGCACAGGGCGGGTCTCAATGAATTTGCCACTCATGTGGGCAGTCACTGTTGTCACTGCTACTGTTACCGCAGGGGAAATGCTTACTGATGGCTTTCTGGGTTTCCTCTAGAACTCATTTCTGTGTAGGGACATGAAGATGCCACAATGGCCTGGGCTGCAAGGGATGAAACTGAAAGAGAACATTTCATTTTCGCTCACTTTCAGAGACAGAGGTGGAAATACCTTGGGCTGGTAACCCTACACGGTTACATGGCCATGAGTGGTTTCTTTCTTTCTTTTTTTTTTGGTACCGGGGATCGAACTTGGGACCTTGTGCTTGGGAAGCAGGGAGTGGCACCACTGAGCTAAATCCCCAGCCCTATGGTGGTTTCTGTCCACCAAGAATGGCCCCATGGCAGGCAGGAGAGTCAGGGAGAACCAACGTCAGTCCTGGGGAGACCTTCAGCTCTAGATGTCCCCTGCTGGTGTGCTCGGTCACAGATCCTTAGGCTGTCTGTGTCTCCCCAGTCCCAGCTACTTGCTCTGTGCAAGCAGAGCCATCCAGGCCCCAGGACAATAGAGGGACCCATCCGAGGGGCCTCTTTGATCCTGCCAATCTTTCTATGCAGGCTCAGGGTTAGGGTGGGCCTGTGGTCTGGCCACTGTCCCCTCTTCCCAGAGCTTGCTGGGACCCCTGCAGACTCTTCTTCAATCTCAGAGACAGGCAGAGAAATACAGACGGGGCTGAGCCATGGGAGACTGGGGTGGGAGGCGGGGCGGGAGAACCCAGACTGGGGCCTCTGTGCTGCAGGGAGGAATGTTTATGCTAGGCCAGGGGAGAAGAAAATCCCATGTGGGCAAATCTGCCTCCAGGGCCCTGGGGACCACTGCTGTGGTGCATTTAGGCCAGCAGAGCAGCCACCCAGGCGTGTGATGGGTCTTGTTTCCCCACTGCTGTGTTTGATCTGCACCATTTGAGTTTACAGACCCAGGGCGCAGGCGGGGCCATTTGGCTCCCTGCAGATACCTAACTTCATCTTTGCTAGGCTCCCTGCCTCCTTTGCCTTCCAGAAAGTCCCCACACGGAGGGTGGGATGATCTCCCTTTATGAGACACTGCGCACAGCTTCTTGAACTGTGCCCTGTCGAGCCGGAGGGAAGCAGGATCCAGACAAGAAGAGGGACAGGCCCTGCGGCCTCTGTCCACACGCATGGCCACGCAGAAACAAACAGAATGACCCCATGGGTGCTGGAAAAACACGCTGGGGAAGGGCAGGCAGCAGGAGGAGTGAACATTTCCTGCATGCTCTGGAACCTAAAGAGCAACCCCCACATCCGTGGTGCCTGGTGTGTACCTCCCAAGGCAGCTGGGGCCAGAGAGGGGCAAGGGCACCCTGGCTTCCCGCATTCTTTCATTATTGGTTTGAACTTGACCTTTAAAATCACAGACCCGCTTGGAGACTGATGCTGGCCGTGAACCCACACGTGTGAACACATGTGCACCAGCCTGGAGGTTGTCACATGGGCCTCAGGTTAAGAGCTCGTGCCTCACGGTGCTGTTCATTCTTGAAGACACAAGCACTGCTGGCTGCAGGCACTTCCTTGGTGTTCTCTGCAGCCCAGAGGTCAAGGTGAGAGTCTACTGCCTCAGCCTGAATGGTCTACCCAGCTTGGCAGGGCCAGGAGCTAGGGCTCAGAGCTCTTTGCCATGTGACAAGGGGGAAGATGGCAGGGCACATGTCTCCTGGGAGGGAGGACTAGGGGCCAACACAGAGCTTCTCTCCCTCAGTTTCCTCCTGCCCTGCTCTCCCCTTGCCACCATCTGCGTCTGAGGAAGAGCTTCTGTTCTTCGCCCGGTCTCAGCACGTCTCCTATTCCCTGCTCTGTGCCTCACATTCCAACTCTGGCAGCCCTGCTGTCCCAGGGACTTTGGGTTGGCCCCCATGTACTGACTTGGGGACACAGGATGGGGAATGAACTTCTGGGCTGAGGGACAAGGGTGGAAGACTCAGTAGGGATCCGGGGGTCAGGATGTGGGAGCAGCTTCCCTGACATGGCCACTCATGGCCCAGAGGAAACTGGGCTTGTGAAAGAGGAAACGACGGCATCCTGGGGAAACAGGAGAGGAAGCTGGGCGGGTGCTGGAGCCCTCACTCGCTCCCACGCCCTCAGACACAGCCGCGCGCACATGGGAGACAGCCTGAGGCCTGGGCTCCTCTTTGCCTCTCACTGAAGGCCTTGGGGAGCCCATGGTTTACCAGGTCATGGGAGTGATCTCAACACAGGGGGCTGCTGTGACCTGAACTGGGGCGCACTGAGGCCCATGAGGCTCTCGTGACACCCTGAACTTCCCAGGTACTCAGCCTGGTCTCAGAGCCAAAGGGGCCGAGGTGGCTCTCAGTGAGATGGGGCAGGTATTCTCTGGGGCTGGGATAGTTCCATGGAGCTGTCGGAGGGACACTGCTACTGAAGGCCACCAAACCTATGTAATGCTAACCAGCATCTGGTGTCCAGATGTCAAGAGGGGCTCAGCAGACAAAGACAGACCCAAGCAGACACCCAAGACACACTGGGTAATTTCCCCACCTACCTGTGTCCCTGTAGTTTTTCTAGCATCATGTGGTTGTGGGCAAGTGGCAACTGCCTGGGAGAGGAGGAGCTGGGTAGCCTGCTATCCAGGGAGAGGGTCAGCCTGGGATCTGGATGGAACCTGGGGGGTGAGCATTAGGAGCAACGTCCTGGCCACCTTTACTTCCAAGGGCGGGCCAGAAACAGCCTGTCTGAATTAGCCGGTCTCTTGTCTGGCTGCTTGCCATGTCGAGCTATTCTAAGCCACTCAGTGAGGAGGAAATGGCTGCTTAGTCTTCTTCCACCTGTGATACTTAAGACTAAAGGCCCTGGACTCCTGCCTGGGGAGATACTAAGTAAAGAGACAGTCAGCTGCCTCCGATGATGCTTTTGTGCTTTGCCAGTGGTTCAACAGCATCAAAGGTGCAGGAAGATAAGGAAAAGGAACCTTCAGGTTCTCTTTGGGGGGCTTCTGGAGGGGAAAGTCTGGCCTCCTCTGGGCTTTTACACTGGCAGAGCCTGGGGGCTCACAAATGAAAGCTCAAAAGCTCCCCTGGCCTAGACAAAACCCAGAACCAGCATTTTTGGGGTCCCTGAGACCGGAGCCCTTACTTACTGGGAGTGTTCAGCAGGCTGGCTCTGCTGGGGGTGGGCACCTGAAGCTCTGAGTGGCCGACTCGGAGGTCAGGGCCATCAGCTGGGCTTGGCTCATCCGTCTGGCCTGCGGGGGAGGAAGCAATTTCCGCCAATACCTCCAGATCCTTCAGGACGACCTGGGGAGACAAGGCGAGGGTGAGGGATGAGCTGAGGTGAGGTCAGAGACAGCCACCTGCAGTGTGTGTGGGGGATCTGCAGATTACAGCTGGGCTGCCTGCCAGTTGTGAGAGCAAAGATCACAGCTGTGGAAGTGTCCAGAAAAGTGTAATGAAGGTATGGCTCAGGGTGACCACAGATGGCAGTGGATGGGGGCCTATACAGGAAGGAAGCTGCAGCCTGAGGCTGGCGAGTCCCTCTCCCGTGAGCCTCCTCTCTGGCCCAGGCAGGGATCTGAGGGGTCCCCAGGAGATGTGGCTCTCAGGCATCAGGGTGCACGACACACCAGGTGTGTCTCAGGGCCCTTGGGTGGTACCAGTGTCTGACGGTGCTCTCCAGGCCACGCTCTGCTGTGTGCGGTGGCCTTGGCCCTGCCCACCCCTGGCCATAGACCAGATGACACTGCAGAGATGACCCTGGATCACACAGACTCCACAGTGCTGACCACATAGGGGCTGTGACTTGGCACATGCAGACAAGGCTGCCTCCAAAGTGTTCGCACCAGGGTTTGGGTGGGGTGAAGCCTCCACAGTCTGATCACTGAGCTCCCGTGAGGCAGAGTGGAGCATGGGGACAGTCCAGCATGCGAGCGAAAGGTGTTCAGTGTTTCAAGGGCCCCCAGGGCTGCCCTACAATCCAGAGAACCTCTGTACCCCTAGAAGCTGCATGTTCTTCACCTGCTAGCAAGTGCTGGCAGAACACTGGTACAATAGGCGGCAGGGAAAGGCCAGGGATATGGACTGCTGTAACCTGTACCAGGACTGCTGAGCCTTCCTGCTTCCTAGTGATGACCGTGCTCTTCCCACCCTTTCTGCTCTCCACTCATCTCTGAAGGGGGACTCTGCTTGGCCTACCCACAAATGCACCCTAAGGACCCAGAAGATGCCCACTGAACATCAGCCGACTGGGTGGGTAACTGTGTCTCTTCCTGGGCTACACCAAGCCCAGGCCAAGAGTTTCCATGGTGATGGAGGGCTTCAGCCCTGGACCAGAGGAAGTGCTGCAGAGCTTGGTGGGTGGAGCCCTGACAGGTTAGCTGGTGGAATATGGTGAATATGAGATCAAGGTAAAAACTACTACGGGGTTATCTGTGGGCTGATGAAAATGTGCTGAAATTAGATGATGGTGATGGCTGTGAAACCTTGTAAATACAGATGCTTCTCAATTTATGATGGAGTTACATCCCAAATAAAGCCACTGTAATTTGAAAACCTAGTTGAAAATGCATTTAATACACTTAGTTCACTGAACATCACAGCTTATTTATTTGTTTACCTTTTAAACAGGGTGGGTCTCGCTATGTAGTTCAGGCCAGCCTTGAACTTACTACATAAGCCCAGGCTAGCCTCAAATTGGCAGTGATTCTCCTGACTCAGCCTCCCGAGTGCTGGGATTACAGGTGTATGCCACTACATCCGGCTGAACATCACAGTAACTGTAACAACATATAACAACATAGCAACTGTATTGGTGTTTTCCTCCATGATTGTGACTGCAGGGGTGACTGGGAGCGGCCCAGTATCAAAAGTACTGTACTACACACCAGTAGCTCAGGAAAGGATCAAAATTCAAAATCTGACATATGGTTTCTACTGAGTCCACTTTACTTTTACCATTATAATAAAAAAAAAAAACCTGAAGTTGAACCATCATCAGGTGGGGACCATGTGTATACCAAAAACCCTGAATTACAGACCTCAAAAGGGCTAATTTTATCTCAAAAAAGGGGGAAAAGTAGGGTCTATTTCCTCTTTGAAGTCTGAAAAGTGGCTCCCTCAATGCAGGAAACATGCCAGTGCCTCAGCCTACACTTCTCGGTTGTCACTTTTCCTGGTGTCCTTGAGGCCAGCCTGGCATATCCTGCTGAGGTCCGCTTTGTCTGTTAATTCCTTCTGGCTGCATCTGGTCTGTTCCAGGTTGGCCACAGCCCGTACTCAAAGGCCACCTCCCACTGCCCTTCCCTCATTGAGAGACCCTGCTCTGTGCCATGCTGCTCCAAATCCTGGTGCTGAAGCAGTGAGTCAGAGCTGCCCCTGCCCACAGCGTGGTGGGCATCGGAGTGATAACTCAGTACTCACAGACACAACCCTCATAAGGGGCTGAATGGACACCTGCCTACCCTTCCGTGTGCTGGAATACGGGATGCTGGTTGCTCTCAGGACATTAGTGTTTGCTGGGTCTGTGGGAAATGGTTCTGTGATGGCTCAAAAACATGGCGGCTATATGCCCCAGTCAGGTGGCAGAGGAGGGGCTGCCCTTGGGCCTAGGCCAAGAGCCAGGGGACCCTGGTTGAGACCAGGCCTTGGGCTTTGGTCTCCCTTTCCACAGAGGGAGGAGCCCCTGGAGGGTCTATGCTCCTGGAATGGAAGAGGGAGGGAAGCGGGTGAGGTGGGCAAGCAGACAGCAAGGCAATGATGGGGAGCCCTGCGAGATGGGCAGACCCTGAGCACCTGCCTCAGCAGGCTGGGCACAGGCCATGTGCCCCGATGCTCAAGGTCCCCAGCGAGTCACTTCCCAAAGGTCAGGGAGGGGGCAGGAGATCAGGGAGTCAGGGTAAGAGGAGAGTGGGGGCGATGACTCAGGCAAAATTAAACAGTGAGGCAAGAATCAAGCCAGGAGTTCCTCAAAAAGTTAAACAGAGTGGTTGTAGGTGTACTCCCACTCCGAGGTAGTTACCGAGAGAATGCAAACATACGTTCACACAGAAACTTCTATATAAATGTTCACAGTAACTACTGCTCAGGGACAGACAGTGCACAACTGACAGGTCCATCAGTTGGTAAAGGGACAAATGAAATGCGATGTGTCTAACCCAAGGAACACTATGTGGCCATAAAAAGGAGTGGGGGGACTGACACAGGCTTCCACATGGAGGAACGTGCCAACATTTGCTAAGTGAAAGCCAAACACAAAAGGCCCCAAACTGTAGGTTGATTCCACTTATATGGATGTCCAGAATAGGCAAATCCCGAAAGACAGAGGGTGGATTAGTGGTTGCCAGTGGCTGGTGGGAGGGACGCCTGGGGAGTTTCTGTTAATGGTTGAAGAAATTAAAATGTTCTGGAGTTAGTAGTGATGGTTGTGCAACCTTGTGAAAATCCTAAAAAAAAAAAAAAAAAAAAAAAAAAAAGAAAAATCACTGAATTTTGGTTATGTGAAATGTATGAAAAAATAAAAACTAAGCCAAAGCCCCAAATCAGCATCCTATGGTAATTCCCAATTGAGTGGTATGCATAGAGCAGTTTGCTCTTGCTCTGCACAGAGCACAAGGTAGTGGGTCTTGTTTCCACTGCCTCATCTCATACCTGATTCAGACTCAGGACAGACAAGAGGGCTTGAAGAGGGCACCCTGCCTCTTTCCAGCACCTTGCATCTGTGAGCGCCGTTGTATCTCCTGGACTACCTGCCTCTGTCAGGTCTGTCCATGGAAAAGCTGACTAGACCCTGGCTAGATCCTTGGTACAAGGACGGGCACACTGATCCACACTGTGTGTCCGGCAAGGGCTTATTCCCACTGGGAGAGATGCCGGGGAATAACCAGGGGGCCCAAGAGGCCTGGCTTATATAAGACTGTCCAGCCTGAGTGGCTCCAGAGCCAGGCTACGAGGGACAGGGAGGTCAGAGGAGGAAGCTCTCCTTGCTCTCAGCCTGAATGGACACCCTCACTCGTCATGTGTCCCCTTACACATGATACACAAGGAATGTGGGGCTTGGACAGTTACTAGCTCAAAAGAATCACTGGCTCAAGAGTGAACCCACTTCAAATCCAGCTCTGGTCTCCAAACCTTAACCTGTTAATCATGCTACTCCTGCATTTGTGGCCAGTCTTGACTTCCAATTCTGACCCTGCCATTCAGCTGTCTGACCCCAGGCCAGTCAAGTTTATCCACACAGGCCTCCTCCCAACATCCACTAAGCAGCTACTGTGGAGATGCACCACTGGAGATGTGAGGCTGAAAGGACAGGCTCTGCCTTTAATGAGTCACAGGCTCCTGGGGAGACAGGGGAAGCAACGACTGACAGGACAGCCTATGGGCCTCCCGAGCCAGGAGCCGTTGGAAGCACCTGAGCACGAGGTTGCCAAGGGTGGGGGAAAAGGCACCGAATGGCTCCCTTAGCTAGCATAAGCCTCTCGTGGACGGAGGAACTGTGTGGCTTCCAGGAAACTGGCCTTGTGGACAAGCTCCAGAGTGGGGCGTGGGGCTGGAGCGGAAGCTGGGGTGGACAAGCCATCATGAGCTTATGACCCAGACAAAGCAGACTGGACTTCTGTTTAGTAGCTAAGGGAGCCTGTTTCTGCAGATGTGCAAATGGAGATCTGACCTTGCAAGGCTGTCTTGAAGATGACAGGAGACACAGATGGCCCTCCGTGTCTGAGGATTCAACCAACTCTGGATTGGGACTATGAGAGGGGTAAAAAAGTGGGTCTTTATCTTGTCATTACTCCCTAAACAATACAGTACAATAACTATTTACATAACACTTACATTATATTAGCTGTGATAAGAAATCCAGAGATAGTCTGAAGCACACAGGATGATGTGTGCAGGTTATATGCAAATACTACGCCATTTTATATAAAGGATTTGAGCATATTCAGACTGCTCAGCCCATGGGGGTGGTGGGGCCAATTCCCTGTGGGTACTGAGGGATGACTGTACTTTACGTACAAGCAAAAAAGCAGGTACAAAGAAAGGCTGGTTTAGCACTTCTATTACAAGACTTCTGGTCCCACAGCCAAGCTGTTCAGTGGTCTCAGCTTGGCGAAGAGACAGCGACGACAGTGCCCACATCAAGGGCTTCCGGAGACGATGTGCACAGCCTCTTCTTTTCTACCGCCTCCCATCCCACTGGAGAGGGCAGCCAGCAAAGCTGCATATTTTACATCTGGAATTCTCTTATTTTAGAAAGTTTAACACAAATGAATGCAAATTAAACTTCAAGTGCACAATTAAAGCCG